GTCTCTCCTGCGGGAGACGGGGCTCAGGGGGCGTCTGCAGCGGGGAGCCCGCACCCTTCCTCCCGAGCCCCCCACAAACTCTCCTCTCCCCATGGCGAGGGCTGGAAGGGCCGTACATGCCGAATGCCCCCACTTCTCGGAGAAGAGCCACAGGAGGCACGGGGACTTGGATCTGGACTGAGTGTGTGGGAATTAATCACAGCTACGAGGCACCCGCCATGGAGCCACAGAGCCACGGAGCCACGGGGGCCACGGGGCCACGGGGCCATGGGGCCACAGACTTGAGCCCCCAAGGTGAGAGCGAAGAGGGGGCTGTTTACTGGGGGCCAGGACCTGACTTCGCCAGCCGGACCCCTCAAGGCGCACAGGCTGGCCCTGGAACACCAGACAGGGGAGCCCTGGAGGAGGGTGTGGCTCAACCACGGGGACATGGGTACTGAGCTAGTTCAGTTGTTGGTTACTATGGGGACCAGCTGAGGGACAGGCCCACCAGCGGCATTTCCGGGGCCCCTCTGGCTCATTCCCCCGCCCCCCTCCCCCAGGAGCTGCCCGACCTCAACGGCCAGCAGGCACATGACCACGACGGCCGTGCTGAACTGCTCCATGCTCTTCTGGATGACGATGCCGTCGATGGCGCGGCCGGTGTAGTAGGGCAGGAACGTCTCTCCTGCGGGAGACGGGGCTCAGGGGGCGTCTGCAGCGGGGAGCCCGCACCCTTCCTCCCCCTGAGCCGGCCCCCCGGTCCCCGAGGCCCAGCGAGGCGAGCCCACCTGTGCGGTTCTCGTCAAAGAAGCTCGTCTCCTGAGACACCAGCGAGCGGAAGAGGCAGTTCCGGAGGCGAATGTTCAGTCTGGCAAATATGAGGGTAAAAATGCCGCCCCGAATACCTGCGGCAAATGAGCTAATTGCAGATAAGAGATGTTATACATGGCACGGCGTCCTTCCGGCAACCGACGACCCGCCCGCCGCCCTCCCGCTGCTGGCAGGCCCGGGCCCACCCCTGACCCAACCCTGACCCACTCCCAGGGCTCCGCCCCCACTTGAGCCCCCAAGGTGAGAG